CGTCTTCCTGTTTAAAATCATGTTCGTTATTTTACTATTCATTTTTTCTACGGCCGTATTTTTTCATCAACGTAATTCACTTTCTGTCGTTTGACAGCATTTTTTTGTCACCGGGGCTCACACTTTTCCTACTTTATAAACATAATGGGTAATGGGTGGTGTGAATGTCGTCATGACTAACCGTCATAATGACGGCAGTTTAAAACGCAAAACATGCCGTTGAAAAAATATTGTTTTCTGGTCTACGCTTGGTTCTCTGTACTCATCGGGAGTAAAAGCTAGCTGACACCTTAAAGTTACTTATATATTATTTACGTTTAGTGAAAAGGTTTCTAAGGTATCATCTGCTAAAAAGTATGAAATCCCCGGTGGTCTACATATCCTCCTCGACATTTTTCTCTTTTGCAGTGTCCCCCGCCCGGGGCTGCCCGCGCTATGACGAGGCTGATCCGGGCGGCCGCGAGCGCACAATGATGAGAGGTGCCAAGGCGGCGAAACCGCGGTGCAAACACTTGCGGGGCTGCTGGGGGAAGCGACCCATTACCGCTTCCGATTGGGACTTCCCACGCCCCGCCCCGCCCCACCCATCATAGCAGGGCGCCGCCGCGCACCGCTGGGAATAGGGCGTTCTCCTCAGTAGGTGGCCCGGGCCGCCTGGCCCCTCGCCCTCGCCGATAACAAATGGCGACCGGGCGCCATCACCCATTGGCCCGACCCACTTTGGAGACGCCACCGCCGCCTGCTGCTGCTGCTGCTGCTGCCGTCGAGGTCCGCGCGCGCCGAAAACGAAAGCCGATGGCTGCCGGGGCGACGCTGCCGCCGCTGCTCTGCGCGTGCTCTCGTTTCCGGCGGGAAAAATTATTTGGCAATTTCGGTGCGCGACCATCCGTGCTACAAGAGTGACGGCGCTGCTGCGCTTTTGGTTGGGGCGGTCGTCGCGTCCGGTGCAGACCGCCCGCCCGACCGACCGCGGCACCTTAATATTCGTGCAATCGATCCGTTTTTGACGGAATGCGGCCGCAGTAAATATTTTTCTTTTTTAGCGGCAAGCGTCTGCTTTCCTGCTGCTGTAGACATGATGTCGGTGTGTGCAGTGCGCGCGCTTCGCGAGCTCTGTACAGTGCCGTGCGGTGTGACCGTCCGATTATCTCTAATTAGACGCTCCGCACAATAGAAAGTGTGTAGAACTGCACTTGTTAGCGTCTAGCAATTCCCCTACAAGAAAATAATGCTCGTTCCCTTAACGCACAGACGGGAGAAGGCGCTGTCAAAAAAGAGACGTGAGACGTCCGAGGGCGTGGGGTGGGGGGGCTTCTCGAGGAATGATAATGGAATTTTGACGCAAACGCTCACGTTTTGTTGTTACTAAGTTGTGGTGTCTTTTGGAGTTGCACTGTCGTTCCCGAGGCTAGTATGCTGTTATGCCTTAAGCAACTACTCTTCGCTGCCATTTCATTATTTTCGTAATTTTTCTCGTTGCGATATGCCACGTTGGCTGCTATGCGCTCACAACTCCGAACTCGCACGTGTTTGCATGACAGCAGCGATAAAGCCCAGCCGCTCGAATAACTCAATCAGGCAGCCGAGAGGCGCGGCGGGCAGCGCGGGCACGGACACAGCGCGTTGGCTCGACGGAGAAAGAGGCAATTACTTTCACATATTGCACGCGGCTGCACGCGGAGAGGCGCGCGGGGGCGGGGTGGGGGCGGGGTGGTGCTTCGCACGGCTTGCGAGGCGAAGGCGTTCACCTTGCGGCCATCGCATCGCTCTCATGAAATCAAAGGGAACAAAAGGACACGACTAGAGGTCGAAAAAGGGGAGCGACAGCCTCTGTTTTTGTCATCTTTCGCTTTTATTCGATGTAAGTAAAAGAGGGCAAAAAGACAGATTTAGTTCTTTACGCTTCGTGTCTTGTACAGACGTAGCGGGGTTCATCGTTTAGTGCTGTGCACTTTTTCTGCAGTGCATGCATGCACGCAGGTGGACGTGCAGAGCAGAGGCGAGAAGGGTCTGCCTATCCTCGCCGTCCTATGTAGCCCCTAGCGAGTATGCAGCCCACGTGCACACCGTGCAGGCGTGTGTTGCAGGCTTGCCTATTGCCACGGCGCTACGGAGCCCCTTGCGAGTAGGCAGCCCAGGTGCAGGCGTGC